TTGAACAGCTTCTTTTCCTCGGTGTTCACAAGAGAGGATGCCATTAACGTTCCTGCTTTTGAAGACAGACAGTTCGACACAGTACTGACCCACATTGTGTTCACAGAAGAGGGTATAAGAAATAAACTGTCAAAGCTAAAGGTCCATAAGAGTCCCGGCCCTGACATGGTGCATCCCAGAGTGCTAAGAGAGTTGTGCAACGAGCTTGCTGAGCCCCTGAAGATCCTGTTCTGTAAATGCCTGGATGAACTAAAGGCCCCCAGTGATTGTAAAGTACATGAGAGTATTATCAGAGATGCCGCGATGGAACATCTACTACGAAGCAACCTTGTAAAGGATTGCCAACATGGTTTTATGCCGGGGTGCTCCTGCTTAACACAATTGCTCAAGGTATTGGATATTTGGACCCATATTCTGGAACGGGGTGGTAATATCGACAATATAAATACCTAGATATTGCCAAGGCTTTCAACATTGTACCCCACGAAAGGCTGAAAATCAAACTGGAAGGGTACGGAATTCGGAGAAATGTCCGAGCGTGGATAGAAGACTCTACATGACTGCAAGCAGTGTGTGTGGTGATTAATGGCACAAAATCATCATCTGTACCTGTCACAAGCAGGGTACCACAGGGCAGTGTATTGGGCTTGCTGTTGTTTGTTTGCTTCATAAATGACATGTCTGACGCTGTACATTCCTCCATACAAATGTTTGCGGATGACGCCAAGTTATTTCCGGAAATCAAGAACCAAGCGGACTGTGAAGAGCTGCATAAGGACCTCTGTGGGCTCCAAGAATAGTCGAAGAAATGGCTGCTGAGATTCAATGTCACGAAGTGTAAGAGGATGCACCTGGGGCGCACCAACGGTAAGGAGGCGTATCATGAGTCCCAACGGGATGAAGAAACTGCACTATTTGAGGTATTGTGAGAAGGACCTAGGTGTGTATGTCGACAATGAGCTGAAGTTCTCGGGCCATTGGAAGAAGTAGGTAAATCGGGCAACTAAATTATTAGGTCTTATAAGAAGGTTGTTCAGATATCTAGACGGTCCGTCCCTCGTAACGATCTTCAAGAGTGAAGTGCTTCCCCATCTGGAGTACTGTCACCCCGTTTGGTCCCCGATATATACTAGGGACTGTGAGATGGTTGAAAATGTTTAAAGGAGGGCCACCAGATTGGTGTCTGCGCTTCGGCACCTCAACTACCCTTAGAGATTGGAGCGCCTGAACTTGCTTAGCTTATACTACAGACGGGCAAGGGGTGACCTAGTTGAGGTGTATAAGCATCTCAAGGGGCGCTACAGTCATGCGCCGGTTAACGTCCGACCGAACAACGTCCAATCGCATATACATCCGTGTCCCCCCCCCAAAAAAGTGATGCCTGCTGGACCACCACTCCACGACCCCCTGACGGAGACATGATGATCCTCCCCATACTGGTCAGATATTATGTGTTAAAGGAATATGCTTCCTTACTTAGGCTTTTTTAAGTGTTTGCCTACAGGTGAAATGTTAACCTACATCTATTGAGGATAAAATCTTTCACCTACAAATTGACAATAACACATTTGCTGTAATTAGACATATCTAGTTGCCTCAACAATTGCAACCCCAGTTGCAATTGGGGTTGCAATTTCAAATTCCGTGGCATTACTAAAAATAGTAGTTTCTGGTGCACTCTAAGATTAAGAGAGAAAACGGAGGACTCAGGCGTCGTGATGTGAGAGAAAACGGACTCGTATGACGGGGACCAAATAAAAAAAGCATAGCTACATGTTTTGTGGACTACAATATTAAGCATACCCTTTTCATCACTTTGTAATAAACCTAGCCATGCCTATGTGTGTTTATGATATTTACCATAACATTATATATATATTTAGTGGGTCTAAATGGTCGTAAAATGGGAAACTTGGGGTTGGGTCTTGGGTAAATGAACCAATTAGAATAAATCCCATAGGTTTTGTACTTTCTTTATCGGCAGGGTCCCAATTAGGCGCAATAACCAAGGGATGACTGTACTGTACTGTATATACTTGTGATACTGGCCAGTTGCTTCTGGTGTTATGGTACAGGGGTACCAAGTGACAGCACTAGGATCCCGCTTCCTCCATCAAGGAATAAACAATTAAAATTTAAATTGAAAAAAAAAAACATTCAAATAAATTACTAACAAGAATCCCTCCAATGTAAGTTATATTCACCCAGGTCGTTTGGGTGGAAAATTATGAGAAGAGCTTAGTCACTCTTAAGTAATGATAAATAAACACGCAGGCAGGCCTTCACCGCCAACTGTCAAATCTTATCTCAAATAAATGAACATACAAACGCCAGACATTCTGTCACCTCACCTCCCGCCCCCTCTTCCCACCCTGGTGATTTCTTTATGTTTATTTTATATAATATCTCAGACTAAAGTTAGGATAATATAATTTGCATTGCTGAAATCCTTGCAAGACAGAGATTAATTTGAATATAAACGTCATATATTTTGATCAAGATATAAAAAATGTAATACATTAGTGTACAATACTGTAGTACATTTTATAAAAAAAAATTCTACTGTATTTTTGGGTAGATTTACATAAATTTCTTCATTTATTTTCATCCATTTACATGCACACACCATACTAAAAGAAACGTAAAAGAAATACTGTAAATGACTTTAGTGCAAAGCTGGAGTGCACATGTACTAATTTGATTACGGTACTAAAATTGTTATGTCTAGTGTGAATTACAACATGTTTATATTCAAATAAATCAGTATCTTACAAGAATTCCAGCTATGTTAATTATATTCTCCTAAGTCATATCACTGGCATTTTAAAATGAGAGAAGCTTAGTAGGACTGTTAATTAAACACACAGAGACCTTCGCCTCAAACTTATCACCTCAACCCCCCCCCAACCCCTCGCTGGGTGGCGGAGCCGTCAGTCCCCCCCCACCCCCCAGCCAGGCTTTTAGGCTTACAGTTTTTATCTTATATAATATCTCAGACTAAAGTTAGGAGATTATAATTTGCATTGCTGGAATCCTTGCAAGACAGCCAATAATTTGAATATAAATGTCATATATTTTGCTCAAGAGATAAAAATTGTTGTACATTAGTGTACAGTACTGTAGTACATTTTATAAAAAAGTTTTCAACTGTATTTTTGGGTAGATTTACATAGATTTCTTAGTGCAAAGCTGGAGTGCACATGTACTAATTTGATTACGGTACTAGAATTGTTTTGTCAAGTGCAAATTATAGCATGTCTATATTCAAATTGATCAGTATGTTACAAGAATCCCAGCTATGTTAATTATATTCACCCAGGTCATTTCACTGGCTTTTTATAAGAGAGAAGCTTAGTCACCTAAGAACTGATAAATATACACGCGTTAGACCTGGGCCTGTGCCAACTGTCAAACGTACTACCTCCCCTCCCCCCACGCCCCCTCGCTTGCTCCCACCCTCTCCCCCATCTGCTCGGTGTTGCTGGAATTCTTGTAAAACAGTGAATAATTTTAATATAAACGTCATGTATTTTGCACAAGAGATAAAAATTAATCACCTGTATCACATTACAGTAGTGATGTAACAGTAAAAGTGTATATGTACGTATGTAGTATTCCACATACACATGAGTATAAATAAAAAGTTTATGTGATGATCGGACAACGTCCATTTCGGTTAACATCACGTTTCCAAGAGCGTATCTAGGACGTTAACCAGCGCATGACTGTACTCAGTTGAGTGTCCTTACTTGGAGCTGGCGGACGCTCGCCCCACAAGGGGTCACAGCTCAAGATTGAAGAAGCCGCAAGTCCAGAAAACTGTGAGGGCAAACTTTTTCGGAGTGAGAGTTGTAAACTCTTGGAACAATCTACCAGAGAGTGTTGTGACGGCACCTAGTGTGAGCTCTTTCAAGACAAGACTTGACCAACACTGGAGCAGGTTCAGGTACATTCAGGAGCTGGTGCATGCCCAGTACTTGCCAATATTGCGTAACAGAGACGTGACCGATCGCCCGGGCGGCTAGCGAGCCGATCGGGTGAAGAGGATAAAAAAAAAGTAAAACCGTGGATAGTGAATACTCTTATAACCAGGACCTTCTGTATATAGAAATGATATTGTTTATGAAAAAACTCAATACCAACACAACATTCCTTGATTACCACTCTCACTGTCTATCTATTTTATTTCCTCCCATTCTTATGACTCTTTCAAAGAGAAGAAAAATTTCCTGACGGAGACACGATGATCCTCCCCATACTGGCCAGATACTATGTAAATAACATTGATTATGTGTTAAAGGAATATCCTTCCTTCCTTAGGCTTTAGTGAGCCCCTTTATAATATTTATACTGTATATACTTGTCACACTTGCCAGATGCTTCTGGTGTTATTGTACAGGGGTACCTAGTGACAGCACTAGGATCCCGCTTCCTCTATCAAGGAATAAACAATTGAAATTGAAGAAAAATGAGTGTAGATGTCTGTATCTTTCCTTTTCTCTATCTCCTTCCCTGAATGAAAGAGAAGAAGAGCCTTATGCTCTCTACTCTTTTTGACTTGACCCCTCAGTCTTCTTCATTGACTTCGGGGAGGGGGAAGGAAGAGTGGGCGAGTGTGTTGGAGGTGGGTTTGGTGATGTTTCTCACAGTTCAGATGAGCGTTAAAGGGGTTTTTGTTATCTGTCTCAGTGCCCATGCATTTGTATGTTTTTCAGTGGACTATTTCTTGAATTTTTTGCTTATGTATTTTTTAACTGAATATTGTCAAGGTTTTTAAATTTATTAGGTGAAAATAATAATTATTTTACAGGTTTAAGTGAATCATAGGGTAATATTTTAGGAACCCTGAATGTAAGGCCTAATTCCCATAAATGCCAGTACAGGTACTACATTAATGGACAATTCATGAAATTTACAGTCTCTTACAATCTAACTTCACAGATTAGGTGGGGTCTACTGCATCTCATTTTTGGAAGAAATAAACAATTTATTTGTTTCAGGAACACAAGTTGTCATTCAAGTGTTTGGATGAAAATAACTACAACAGAGAAACTTGTGCTGTCTATTTTGAGAACTACAAGAGGTGTAGGGAGTTCTGGGTACGTATGATTGCATAATGAAACTGTATAATACTGATGTTCCAGAATGAAAAATATTTTACAAGTTAGGTTCCAAATTTCCTGAGGATGGAGTGGTGGTGGAGTCAGGCATCTTCCCATCCTGCTCCCAGGGACAAGGAAGAAGGATGGGAGATGCTGTGCTGTGCTTCATGTTTGATGTAAAGCAATACCTTAGTGCAGTTTTCATTATCCATGATGCCTGCAAAGTAGCCGTATTTACAGGATTTTGGCTTGAAGTTTGTTTAGGATTCAGGGATGAAGTTCTGTTTTTAGGTGAGCCAGCATGGTTTGATCTGAGTTTAGCCATGTTAGTTGTGGTTGTCTCGTACCTTGTTAATTTGATATACACTAGCACCAAAAAGTATCGGTGCAGGGTGAGATCGACGCGTTCCGAAACGATACGTATTCACTGTGATATGTCGGGAAGGTTGGTAAGTGTATCCTCATAATCCACCCCCCCCCCCTCCACTAGGTGTTGCCATATGGCTGAGAATCAGGGCTGCCAACATATGGCTGGAACAACTCGCCTTTCCCAATACCTATCGTCACTAGTCTCAAATTGTTCGCACTACAGTATGCACCGATACTTTTTGTTGCGAGTGTACAAGTAATACGTTTTCAGTCGCTATTGGCTTGTCCCTAGTGGTTTGGGGAAATCCTGGCTTTATTTTAGTTGACCAATACCTTGATTTTCTTTATTTGGTACAAGAGTTCCAATCTCTTATGTTTCCATACATTAGCCCGCCTTGTGAGAATTCATTAAGTTCCAAGTTTCCTGGTTTTAACAGGGATTTATGATCTAGTGAGGCTTTATTGATCATCTAGAAACTGTGTTTACTCCTGAATCAGTAGTGTCAGTACAGTACTATGGTGGTTAGGATTTTTAGTTATTCTGCCCACAGGGAGAAGTATTGGGTTTTGAATGGCAATTCTCTAATTATGGCCCGAAAGAATATTTTTGCTTACCGTATATGTCGGCGTACAAGGCCACAGGGTGTATAAGACGACCCCCAAATTTCCATTTCGAACATTGGTTTTGAGCTATACTCGCTGTATAAGACTACCACAGCTCTGACACTTACCACTGGGAGCTTACTGCCCCAGTAGTCCTTTACCAACCATCCCACTGACCAGTGGAGTGATGCTGTTAAACACACTACTAAGCAACACATCCTTGTTTATTTAAAATAAGGCCAGTGTATCTCAAGTAATGGCATCAAACATTACCAGCTGGTGTAGTGTAAACACTAGTGACGTCACTTAGGCGTCGGTTATTTTACTGGAACTAATGTCGGTGCCTAGTAAAATTTTACTTTTTACTTGAAATGGATTTACTGATTTATTTGTTTATTTATTTATTTATAATATACTGTAATATATTACAAATGTAGGCATAAAATACACTGCAGGTATTTTCTTTAATTTATAAACTTGCTTGGCAAGACGATTGGTAGGACTGGCTGTTTGTTTACTTCGGCGGCAGTTGCAAATGGCGGGTGGTGCGTGATGATACCTGCATTTATTATGTTGTTATTTTACGGTATTTACGGTAGGTTAGACAGGTTTATAATACATTTTTATCATTTTAATGCACTGGTAATCTTATTTTTAATCCAGCTTCCCAAACGTAAGTTTCAGTAGAAAATAATTAGTGGTAGGACCATGGGATTAAGGGGAGTGTTTTACGATGTTCTCCAATACCACTGGTGACACACTAAACCACAGGATGTAGAGGTTTGGATTTTATACCTGGCATTTAAGACGGCCCCTAATTTTGGGCTGATTTTTTTAGGGTTCAAGTTCCGTCTTATACGTCGACATATACGGTATGCATTTTGTCTATGCAAAGAGGTGGTGAGGGAAAGGTGTTGAGTCTGACCATAAGAACTACAGGTACAGCATGCCCTTAAAATTCGTGGGGGGGGGGAAGTAGGTTCTCAAAATGGCATTTTTGCTCGTGTGCAAAGAAATGTATATTCCCTTCATGTGTTTGCCCTTAGTTCAATTATTTCTTTAACCTATATTGAATATAATTGTGTGTGTGTGTGTGTGTAGATACATACACGCACATACGTAGTGACCCCTCGGTTAACGAACGGTTCGATTAACGAAATTTTGGTTCACGAATTACCTCCCAAAAGGATCTTCAATTCGGTTAACGAACAAAACTTTGATTAACGAAATCCTTAAGACTAACACCTTTTGTTGTGAGCATCAGCTGATGGGCTAGTCTGCCAATTCAGTAATCTGTTCTATGTTTACATTCGTTTCCAATGGAGTAAATATCAAGAAAGTTGTGCTCTTTTATATTTTTGCATTTTCTAGATTAAATTTATTAGTCGTTTTAAAAATTAAGTTAACATATTGATAATATATGCAGTACAGAGAACTAGTTTTTTGTGTGCCCATCAGCTGCTTGACTCACTCACCAGGCGTCAGTTTGGCTTTGTTTACAGTGGAGTGAACATTGATTTTGTTGGTGTCTCGAATATTTTTGCATTTTTACATTAAAATTATTGGTCATTCTGAAATTTAGTTAACATATTGATAATATATAATGCAGTGCACTGTTGATTTTAAGTAAAATAATCTTGAATTACACCTAGTGAACTTAAAATTTTATTGGTGAAATGACAGCATCAAGCATGGGTCCCCTGAAAGGTGATTTCTCCTCCATCCCCAATTCCTTCTCTTCTCCCTTCTTCTCCACCCCTACTTCTAATTCCCATCTTCATCATCAACCAGGAACCTTCTACATACACACCTCAAAATAAGTGTACTTTACTTTGGGTTGCCATATCTGAACATTAAAAAAAGAGGACACACCCGAAGACATCCTCCGCACACACATAATAATATACAGTATACTGTACATGGTATAAAAATCTTAAAAAAAAAAATACCTTTGCTTAAGGCTGAACATCTTCATTCCCTTAGCTGCAGTCTTCTTCCCCCACTGCAATAATAAAATAATAATAAAAATAATTAACGGTTTATTGAAAGAGCTTGGCAGCCAGAAGGCTGAAAATATACAGTTACATATTTGGGGAATGGGTTACGAATTACAAATAATATACAAGTAACATAAGTGACACAAGTGAGACATAAAAAATAATTAACGCAAGGTTTATTGAAAGAGCTTACAGCTGTGAAGGCTGAAAAGGTTGTTATTATTTGGGGAATGGGTTATATCATAAATAATATACAAGTAACATAAGTGACAATAAGTGAGACATATAATCAGATGTGAAAGCTCAAACCATGTCTATTTCAACATAGTGACAGTGTAAGGAGCAGTGTTTACTGGGAGTGAATACACTGATTTATTGGCGTTATTGATAATTTTTACAATGGTTGGGACTGGGCTGTTCTTATAGCGACTGCCTGCACGATGGGCTGGATGCTGCCAGGTGTCGAACAGCAATTCTCGGACATGGGATCTCTTAGGTGGTAGTAGGAGCCGTGTCGGGATGGCGAGAAGCTTACCAAATTTGCAGATGAGGTCGTGGTAGATGGTCAGTGAGAGTCTAAAAGGGCCAGTGTGTGTTGAGCTTTTGATATGTGGAGTAGAAGGAGGAGAATAATCTGCATGCCCTCTTTTTGCACTTTTTCAGGTGTTTACGCTAGTGGCATTTAGGAGGAAGACCAGGTGGGGGAGGTATAGGTGAGCTTTGGGAAGTATGAATGTTGTGTAGACACTGAGGAGCTCAGGTGCAGGAACTCCCGAGGGACTTGAGTCGGCGGAGGAGGTGGGAGACGTGAAACTGAGGATTTGATAACTTACCGATGTGGTTTCCACCTTAGTTTGTTGTCTATAGACGCTGAGGAGCTGTGGAATTCCATAACCTGGAGTGTACCGACTCAGAGTAATGGAAGGAGGTGGGACAATGTCGGAGGAGAGGTTGATGTGCATAACCATGGTCTTGGTATGGTTGATGGTGACATGGTTAAGGTGGCCCAGTTTTGGAGACTGTTCAATAACCTGAAGGGCGTGTATAGTTGGGGAGCAGAATTGTTGACGCTGATCCCAATGGTGGAGTCGCTTATTATATTTCAGCGAGCAGGGGTTTATCTTAGGGCATCATTGATGAGCATAAGGAAGCAGAGTGGTCCCATCTTGGTGCTTTGGGGGACGCCACAGGTGAGTGACTTCGAAAGGTGAGACAGCCCCTCGAAGCTTATTAGCTTGGCCGGTCACTGGCGGGTAAGTCTGTGTTGGTATAAGACTTCTCCGAAGCCCGGAGGTCAATAGCTTTGTTGATGATTATATTGTGGCTTCCACTAGGCCTAACGCTTTTAGTGAAATCAATGAAGGCGACAGCTACAGACGTTTTTTCGTTTCTCGAGATGCATGTATATATAATCGGAGAAAAAGCTGACAAGACAGTGAGTGGTGGAGGAAGTTTTCATGTTGCCAAATTGCTGAGGGTCTACGTGACTCCTGCAATATCAGCATAAGCCCAGCTCTAACACAAAACTTACAGATTAGGCTGGGTATTGGGTGATTGCAATAGGGTCGTAGCTGATTTATGATTGTGGGCTGGTTGACTTGGGCACTGGTGATACATAAGAGGCCTCCAGTCAGCTGGGCATCTGCTGGCTTGACTGAGAGAAGCATTGATGATGGAGCATAGGGGTTTAGCAAGTCTGGGAGAACTCCTCCTTGAAGAGTTTCATTGGTAAGTCAATGGGGGGTGGTAGAGCCGCTTTAATTTTAGCGTCCAGCGTTTTACACAAATTCTTTCTACTAAGTCAGTGGAAGGGGCTGGTAGGTAAGCAGGGAGAGTGTTAAAGCCGTCGCGAGCGCCTGGCATATAGTAGCCAATGGTTATTTGTTTGCCTAGCCAAGGCCAACATTAGTGAGATGGCTGTATGAAGGAGGGGTGTGTCTTATTGTTTAGTCCACAGAGTTCTTTGCTTACCATACCATTGACTGATGTTATCTGCTTCAGGTGTTGTAATTTGCTTGGGTAGTGGAC